CATTGAGGAGGTGAAGAGAGAAGATGACAGTTTAAGGCCAGCCCTGCCCCCCAAAAAAATTCACAAAAATCCCCATCTAAAATTAAAAGCCAGGTGCAATGGTTCATACCTATCATGCCAAATACATGGGAAGCATAAATACTATTGTGGTCCAGTCCTGCTAGGCAAAAGGCAAGATCCTCTTTAAAAAGTAATGCAAGCAAGCCTAGCATCAATAGCTCACACCTGTAATCCTAGCTACTCAGGAGGCTGAGATCTGAGGATTGTGGTTCAAAGCCAGCCAGGGCAGGAAAGTCTGTGAGACTCTTATCTCCAATAAAACACCAGAAAACTGGAAGTGGTGCTGTGGCTCAAGTGGTAGAGCGCTAGCCTTGAGCTGAAGAAGAGCTGAGGGACAGCGCCCAGGCCCAGAGATCAAGCCCCACAGCCAAAAAAAAATAACACAAGCAAAAGGGCTACAGACCTAGCTCAAGTAGACTGCCTGCCTAGCAAGTACAAAGCCTTAAGCTCAAACCTTAATTTAAACTGCCAATTTAAAAAAAAATTAAGAATTCAAAAAGAATTCCCTGCTCCAAAAGCTTGAGTGAATAAGCAAAACGCTGTGCTGGGTGGCCTAAAATTACCAATGATTATAAGAGGAGCCACAATTAGCCGAGCTATCTGCAACACTGCAGGCAGAAAGGACCAGGTGTGGGATGACACGGACAGCTCAGACACTTCCCCCAAGAAAAGCCCTGGTAAGAGGCTGGATGCCAGCAAACTGAGATGATGCTATGTCGAAAAACGAACTTTACAATTTAGGTGGGGGGGCGGGGGGGGGGGAGTTGAGGAGGCGGAACGGGATGGTAGGGGAAAAACAAAGGAGGAGGCAACAATGCTGGATAAGAAATGTACTCAATACCTTGTTCATGTAACTGTAACCCTTCTGTACAGTATTTTCACAATAAAAAAACCTATTTTTTTTTTAAACTGAGATGACTGACGTGGGAGAGGGACAAGGAGGTGAGGTAGAATGGACAGTGGGCGGCCAGCCTTTTGGGATCCTTTTTCCAAATAAGGCTGCAGCAATGTAGCCATCCTTTTCCAATGTATTTGCTACAGTATGGCAGGCTCTTTTCTACTTGTATCTGGCACAGGGGAATATAGCAGAACAATGCTATGTGACTTCCAAGATTTTGTCTGGAAAATTAAAAAAAAGAAACCATACCTAGCTGGCCTTCTCCTGGACTTTGCTCAGGCCAGTCACCTTTGGAATCAGATGAACAATCTCAGGCCACATGGAAAGCCCAGTGAAGTTCCAGCCCACATCCCAGCTGGTGTCAGCCAGGCCCACTCCCACCTTTAGTCACTGAATAAAGGAGTCTTCTTATGACTCCAGCCCCAGTCTTCAAAGTTGGGGCTTTCCAACTGCTGTGGAATAGGGGTAAACTCCTACACTGTAGCCTCTCTGAAATCCTGACACACAAGCTGGGTGCAGGTAGCTCAGGCCTGTCATCCTACCTACTCAGGAGACTGAGATCTGAGGATCATGGTTCAAAGCCAATCTGCAAAGAAAAGTCCCCCATGAGGCTCTTAGTCCATTAACCACTCAAAAACTGGAAGTGATGCTGTGGCTTAAGTGGTAGAGTACTAGCCTTGAACACAAAGAGTGCCCAGGGCCTGAGATCAAGCCCCACAACTGACCAAAAAAAAAGTCCTGACACATAGAAATAGAAAGACAGAGACAGACAGACAGACAGACAGACAGAGACAGACAGACAGATAGATAGATAGATAGATAGATAGATAGATAGATAGATAGATAGATAGATAGATAGATAGATAGATATAGATTTTTTTGCTAGTTCCTAGAATTTGAACTCAGGGCCTTAAGTTCTTGACTTTCTCACTCATGGTTAGTGCTCTACCACTTGAACCATGCATCAACTTCTGGCTTTTTGCTGGTTAATCGGAGATAAGTCTCTTGATGTGTCCACCCTGGCTGGCTCCAAATCTCAACTCTCAGATCTCAGCCTCCTGTGAGCCACAATGCCCAGCAAAAAATTATTCTTGTTTAACCTCTTCTAGGGCAGCAGGCTGCACAGTAGTCAATAATAATGCACAGGATTTGAATGCAGGCTCTAGTTGCTAACACTGGACAGATTCTTCCTCTCCTGGCCAAACAATGATCCTACAACCCCCATTCTGCCAGGTGGTGTCCTCATTACCACATATCTCCTTTGTTTGGTGGTACTGAGACTAGAACTCGGGGCCTTAAACTTGCTAGGCCAGTACTCTGCCACTTGAGCCACACCACCAACCCATAAAATTCATTATTCATCAGGTAGCTGTTCATTGAGAATACGTATCCCCTACAAGCCATCTTACTCTCTGCTCTGTCCCCAGCGCCTAGAAGTGTACCTGCCTTGCTGATTTTCCCAATCAACACTGAAAGATGGAGTTGGGAATGGCAGTGTATCCCTATAACTCCACAATTCAGGAGGAGGCTGAGCAGGGGGATCTCAAATTCAAGACCCTGCCTCAAAAACAAAAGGATAAAAATAATATTCCGCTGGTCCACAGAGATAAGGAGTCACATAGCAACAAAGTGCTCACGAGAAGTTCATTCCAAGAGACAGGAGGAGGGTAGGGAAGCAAGAGATTAAGGCAGGGCGAGGGAGAGCAGGGGGACCAATGTCAGCAGGCAGTCTGGACTCCGGAACATTCCCAAGTCAGAAAGAGACCTGAAGTCCAAGGGGGAGTCGCGCCGACTAAAGCAAAGCCACTCCACTGGTGGAGAACACCCCTGCTTGGACTGCTGGTGGCAATTTATCTTCTTCACTAGTGTCTCGCCAGTCCATTTGGCCCCATTCTTACCCTCCTGCTAGAAAACGGTCTTCTCTCCCTTGGCCAGCACAGAACTCCTGACCTTTTATTTATAATCTATACTCCAGTTAGTGCAAGGCAAGTCTAAGGTAGTAATTTGGGTCTTTTAGGTTCCACAGGCCTGGTATATAACTCCTGCTACTCTTGCTGAAGCCAACTGATCATTTTCCACACCGCAGGCTGCTCTACTCCATAGGCTTCTTCCCCTTTCCTCAAGAATATTCCGCTGTGGGAAGACAGGAAACCCAAATTAAGCCCAATTGATCCAAGGTAGATAATCACAGTGGAATGTTTTTCAAGTACTGCCCTAAGATTTCTCCTACCTATGAACAGGACAATGAAAAGACAAGGTTTATCCAGCCCTTGTAGTTATGTGCAAAAAAGTAATGATCACTTTTTTTAACAAAAATCAGTGCTACATGTGTGTTTTCTCTCATATGTGACGCTAGATCTAAAATACAAATGGACTTATACAGAACTCTAAGCATCCACACACAGTGAGATTAAAGGAGGCTACTCCTAGGGGAGGAACCTAAAGGCAAACCTCCTCCAAACATTTAAAATACCATTTATCCAAATGAATTCCAGGAAATGGAAACATGGATTTTTTGTGTGTGTGGTGGTGGTGGTGATGTTTTTGCTTTGGGGTTTGTTTTGGGTTTTTTTTTTGCATTTTTAAGGGGATAAGGGGGTGAAGAAGGGAGGAAGGATGAACAAATTCAGTGATGGTATTCAGTATAAACTATGTGGAAAATAAACTATGCAACTTGTAGGCAGGCACAGGTGGGGAAAAACAAAGAAAAGGGTAACATTGTCCAAAAAGGAAACATACTCATTCCCTGACTTATGAAATGGTAACCCCTTCTGTACAATACCTAAATATTAATGAAATTATATTTTTAAAACCCAGTGCCAAAGTGAAGAGCCGAGCTTCAAAAAAGCACATTTCCAAAAGCACACACAAAAATAGTAAAAATCCCAGGCAGTTGAGTTTTGTTGTTGTTCATATCCCTTGACCATTCAAAACTGTTTCCCCTCTTGGAAGTACTAGGGTTTGAACTAAGGACCTTGGACTTACTAGGCAGGTGCTCTACTACTTGATCCATTCCAGCCTGTTTCTGCATTGGTTCAAGGGCTTAGGCTCAGGCCAGCCTGGATTGTAATCCTCCTAGTTGTCAATGACAGGTGCTTATACTACTGTGTCTAGCCATTGGATGAGATGGAGTCTTGTGAGCTTCTTCATAAAGAAACCTGTTTTGGCCCAGACTAGTTTCAAACCAAGATTCCCAATCCCCGCTTTCTAAGGAGCTAGGGTTACAGCTTGAAACTCCAAGCCCAGCTGCTTTCTTTTGTTTTGGCCAAAAGTTCTGCCCCAAATGTTCAAGGTTCCTTAGACGAAGATTTCTAAGGTAGGGAGACTCAGTGGGCTTTTTTTTTTTGGGGGGGGGGGCCTGGGCGCTGTCCCTAAGCTCTTAAGCTCAAGGCTAGCGCTCTACCTCTTGAGCCACAGCTCCACTTCCGGCTTTTTTCTTTTTGCTTATGTGGTGCTGAGGAATCGAACCCAGGGCCTCGAGCATGCAAGGCAAGCGCCACCTTCCCAGCCCACTCAGTGGGCTTTTATTCAACACCTTCCATCGGTCATCATTCTTTTATTGTTCTGATTTCCTGGAACCTGTGTCCTGGCATCTGTTCAGCCGCTCGCTCCAGGCTCCCAACACATGATGCTCACTGTGGTCAGGTAACCTGCTTGGTCTGTACCAAGCTTAACCTAATTACCTGAATGTGTAATTAATCTAGTCCTCTCAATCACCTTGTGGGTAATGTTACTGTTCATATTCTCATCTTCACACAGAAGGAAATGGAGACTAGAGATTAGCGAACTTTTCTGCATTTACTAGAACCTGATGTCCCAGCAGTCTGCCTTCAGAGCCCATACTTTTACCCACCAACGGCATCACTTACTAATCTCAGCCTTAATCATGTCCTACTTTGCCCTGCTAAGTCCTTAACAGATCGATAAAACACCTCTTTCTACACTTCAGTTTCAAAGCCTTTTCATTAACTTGGAGCCCGCGGAGACTCCTTCCTTGGCCTGGAGCCCACTCTGTTCACAGAGTGAAGGGTGAGATGCTGAGTCACACTGTTCACTGGTTTATTGAGAGTTGGGAGCAGAGTCTTCTCCAAGAGACAGCACAGTGTGAAAGGGACGACACCTCCCGCCCCATCGGTCCATCTGTCCATCCCAGCAGTCAGAGACGCCTTCCTTTGGTAGGATTCTCACCCACTATCCACTAGAAGCAGCTCCCCAAGTCTGCCCCCTAGTTCTTTACCCTTAGTTCAAGAAAGAGAGAAGAGAGAGAAAGGAAGAGAGGAGGAGGTGAAGGAAGGAAGGTAGGAAGGGATGAAGGAGCAAAGGAACAAAAGGAGGAATGGATTACAAAGAAAAGGAAAGAGCACTGGTGTTGAGTGAGGGTAATCGTGAGAATAGACAGAGGGTAGAACGTGAGCACAGAAGAGGGAGAGGGGAAGTTTGATCAGAACCTGCCCATGATGAAGGAAAGTGGATGAGGATAAGGAGGGTGAATGGATGATAAGGAGAGGGAATGAAAACAGAAGAGTGGATGGACAGGCCCAGCAAACATGGCTTGGGAGAAAGTGCCTAATAATGTGCAAGTAGGGTGCATATGGCTCTGTTGGAAAATACAATAACCTTAAGGTACAAAGGGATAAAGAGGGCACTGAGGACACATGGGGAACGTATGCAGAGACACATGAATGTGTGCAAGTAGGGAAGATACAGCTCAACACACACTTACCCAAATCACACACACTTACCCAAACACACAGGGACACCTGACCACGAGAGATGTGTGCTCTGGTGCACACAGGGAGCACACTGGAACAGCACGGGGTGCAAGAACACAGCAGCCATGAGCAAGAGAGGAGAGGAGGGGTGTGTGCTGGAAAGTTCTGGGTGTGAGTACACACAGAGCAGAGACAAGGAGCGGGCGAGCCTTGGTGAGAAGGCTGGGCCTTCAGAAGCAGCAAAACTGAAGAGGAGGAAAACATGGGGGTGTGTGGAAGGGCAAGCAGGACGGAAGATTAGGACCATGATGGCGAGAGACATGGAGAGGCCCCTGCTGGGGTGGAAAGAGCACTTGTGGGGAGACCCCTGCTGACAGGAGCCCAGCACAAAGGCAGTGGGGAGCTTAGGGGTTGCCCTGGTAACGAGACAGAGGTGTATTGTGGGAGAGGAAGATGCAGTCAGGCTGCTGAGGAGTTATGAGTAGCTTCCAGCAAGGTACAAACTAAATGAGGAAGTAGTGACAGAGTTGTACGAATGAATGAGAAAAGAGGGTCAGTTTCCTGGAGTATTGGAGAACCAAATAACCCCAAGACTCACAGAGAGACGAGTATTTACAAGAGATGGGATTGGACAGTGCAGTGCTTCCCAGCTGGGGATGGGGGTCCCCTGCCTCCTTCTAGCTCCCCACCCTCTCTCCACTCCCTTTCCCTCCCCTACTGGCCTGACACCCCCTCACTTGTAAAGCAAGTGGACTCGACTCCCATCACAGCTAAGACGGTCAGGGGGTTCCGAGGGGCCCCTGGGTAGGCCCCCAGAAGGATCTGGGGGAGTCTGGGGGTGGCGCCTGGAGCGGAGCTGCTGCCGAGACTGGAGCTGATGGCGCAGTTCAGAAACACGCTCCTCTTTCTGCAGAGAGAAACACAATTGGGAGGGCAGGAGACAGGGAGGAGGGGATGGGAAGACATGGCACAGAAACAGGGAGTAGAAGGTAAACAGAAGAGAAGAAATAAAACAGAGAATTGGGCAAAGAACAAGGAAAGGAAAATCCCAGAACATAACAGGGTACCAACAGAAGAAAAGATCGGGGCAATAAAAGAGAATTTTAAAACAAAAGGAGAAAATGGAGAAGGGAAGGAGAGTCAGTACACCCAGTTCCAATAAATCACACAGAGATTTATGTCAACCTAGTTTAAACATCTCCCTCTCTGGCATTGTACTGACCCCTAACAACAGCCTGGGGTATAGTGAACACGGCAGACATCTTCCCAGACACCTTTAGCTTGTGGGCACACTCAACCTCCAGCTGCTTGAGTGTGGATAGCTAATGGCTCACAGTTGCCTCCCCCAAGTAGCCACCCTCTGGCCTCAGCAGGGTGGAATCAATAGCCTCCTCCACCTCAGCCTGCCAACACTCAATTTTAGCTGAGCCAGTCTCTTGCTCAACATTTTCCCCCTTTTCCTATTCTCCACTCACTCCCTTGAAGGTTTTATAAGACCTTTCATAAATCATGAACACCGAAACTTGTATCTGAAGCACAACCCGCCCAAAGACAGGTAGGTACCTCCTAGAACCCCCATCATTACCCACAACTTGTCATCACCCACACACCTCGGCAATGATCTTTTCCAGTTCACGATTCTCCTTCTCCAACAGCCTCGACTTCTCTTCCTCATTGTTATTAGTGGATGAGCCTGTTTTCATGGTGTCCTGAGCTTCCGACTGCCATTCTCCTCGGGTGATCAGCCTGCGCATCTGGGGGCAAATATTTGGGCAAAGGATGGCAGATCAGGGTTGTGTCAGTGATCAGCTGATGGAAGACTAGAGTAGGAAGGAATGGGAAAAAAAAGGACAAACAGACAAAACAAGAGGAAAAAGTGGAAGTACGTATAGATGGGCAAGGAACAGAGTCCATGGAAGAAGAGAGGGAGAAGAACCAGAACCTCACCTTGGGCACAAAGAGCACGACCAGAGTAATATAGGAGGAGAATACAATGGCAAGGGAGGCGAAGGCAAAGGCTGCATCCTGCTGGCTAGACAGAATCATGGTGACAGGGGCAGTGATGAGGCACAGGACCTAGAGAGAAGGAAGATATTGGGAGAGACTTGGATCTTCAGGCTCAAACAGAATATGGGGTTTTATTTGTCTAGGTAAAAACCTCTTAGGACAGGGTCCTGGTGGTGAACTTTTCACAGAAATTCAGGAATGTCCTCAACTCTACAGGTTCCAGCTCTAGGTCAACCCTCCTCTCAAGGCAGGAAGTCCTAGAAGCTCTCTGCACACATTGAAGTCAGTCCTTGGGGATGCATGGCAGAAAATCTGCATCCAGATCCTATTCCATGAACCACTCACAAGCAATGTAAAACTTTCTGGATTTATTCCTTTCACCTGTAAGTGCAGATGCTAATCTACACTGAGTCTATGGAGGGGCAGGCGGGGAATGACTGATACAATGCAGTACACTTTGTAAACTATGAAGTGTTTTAGAAGTAGATATTCACTTTTTATAACATCCACCCAAACGGATCCCAGATCCTAATGCTTCGTTCTTCCTAATCTACTCTCTCTAGACAACCTATTAGGTTAACGCCATGTGTCCAGGGATCTTACCGCCACATTGTAGATGGCCATGCCCACAGCCCTGTGGTCATTGATCTTCTCAGTGGACACACTCTTGGTCTCATAAGCAAGAAAGATTCCCAACAGTAGCAGCAGCCCCTTGTAACCATAGAAAATGCCTAGGATGGCAGGAAAGGGTCACCTGGGGACGACAAAGCTTTCCACACTCCCTTCTCAGCCTTCCCCCTTCACTCATGTCTTTCACTCACTGCTGCTTCTTGTAGCTTCACTGTGGAAAGAGAGCTCTCCATCTCCACTCCAAGCAGCCCTTCAGACCTAGCACACCCTCCCCTGGGACCTCATGTACCTAGCTGGCCCAGAAGAAAAGCCAAAGTTCACAGTGGAGGATGGTAGTCATCTGAAGCTGTCCATTAGGCAAGAGCCTGTTGAGCAGCTGAAACTGGTCCCGTTTAGGCTACGGACAACGTCTCATCCCTTCCTCTCAAACCGAGGAGCAGTCATCATTTGTGATTATAGGTAAATGTGAACAAGGCTAAACAGACTCTAAACTCATGACCTCACAATCCCAATCTTTCTCTAGTTCTCTGGGAGTTGCCAAACAAGCCAGATCACTCATATGGATCCGAGAGCTGTACTTTGGATCCTAAACACTTCACAGTAAAAATAAAAAAAAACTTTCTCAGAGATGATTATTAGTACAATGACACAGAAGGGGACATTGAAATGGCGAGACAAACTCTTTTGCCTCCTCTCTTGAAAAATCTTTTTTCCCTCTAAACCTACTGTCCTAAACAATCCCCCCTACCTTGTTTCTTCCTCTCCCACACACACCCCACGCACCAAGCCATGTATTCATCTTCCTGGAGCTACAGTGCTCCAGCTGCGGCAGGATAGAGACATCAATGTCTTCCTTTGGTTCCTCCTTGGCAAAAGTCTAAGGCAGAAAAAGGATCACAGGAAAGATACTTGTCCTCCCCTTCCAACCCTCCCAACTTTTCCCAGCTTCTGATCCTCCACCCTGCTGCCTCTCTCCTATGAGACTCTCAATATCAATGCCAAATCCCATCCTGGGCCTGGCAACATTTTCCCACTTTCCCTGATGCCTGGAAATTCTATACATCCTTCCAAAAGTCCCACCAGATGAATTTGACGGATCTCTTGACATAAGGGCAAAGAGGAGCCACTGACAGGTAGAAATCACTTTTTCCTCCAAAATCACACATAGCCCCAGGTATCCTGACAGCCAGTGAGCTCTGCTCTGCTTCCTGGTCCCCAGTATCTCAAGTAATACCTCAATGGTCCGGTGCAAGGGGTCCACAATTTGCCAGATGGCAAGAGTAAGGAGGTCCATGCCCACCAGCAGGCCCACTGTGGCATATAGCTTCCAGGGCTCTAAGGTCTGAGTAAATGTTCAGAACAGGCAGGTCAGGGGAAAGTCCTGGAAGCCCCAGGGGTCCGGGAACAAGGGCTGGATTCAAAAGCAGCAGCTCACCTTCCTCCATTCCTTCTTTTCTTCCTTCTTGGTGAAGACTGTGTGGACCCACCAGATCTTGGTAAACATGGAGCCATAGCCCAGACTGAAGCCCAAACCTAGGAGCCAGAGGCGGGCCTGCAAGGGGAGAAAGAACATGGGTAGAACAGGTGGGAGGGGCTTGCAGCCAGGATGGGCAGGCCCGTAGGAGGGAGTGTGGGTGGAGAACAGATGACAGAGCAGGCAGCACACAGCTAGCAGGGGATAAGGTATATAGCAAGGACAGGGCAGGGCTGGGGACAGACTCTCTGCCTTCAGTAAGTCCTCTCATTCTTCATCAAGGTGATCTAGCTAATCCTCCAGTGAGGTTAGAGCCTGAACTCCTTCAGGTATGACAGACCTTGTACAACATGATTCTACCTATCTGTCCACACTCACCTCCCAGGCCCTCACCTACCCCAGGCTCCAGTTATACTCAACTACTCACTTTCCCATCTGTGTCTCTCTAGCCTCAGGGTGTGCCCTCTGACCCTGGAGTAACCTTCCTCTATTTTCCCAGCTGAAAAAAATCTCACATATCCTTCAGTATGCAAACACCACCTCCTTCCTAAGGGCCACCCAAACACTCAGACTGCCAGCTGTTTCCCTTCCTTGCTCTCCTAGTACTTCGTACAGATCCCTACTCCTGTGCCTCTCCTACAGCACTGTAGTCACTCATCTGCCTCTTCTACTCCATTGTGATTCCATTGGGAAGAGATAATTCCTCATGAATCATGTGTGTGTGCATATATGCATGTGTGTGCTTGCGTGCATGAATGTATACTACTGTATGCATGATGCATGATAAGGACAGGAATTGGACAGAAGAAAGTGTATAAATGGACAGAACAGTGTCTCCTATACATAACAGAGAACCACTCAAATAGCACTGTTAAACCAGACTTTGCCCACAGCCCTGGAATCTTCCAGCATCTAGTCACAAAAGGTCCTCATCTCTGTGGGATAGTGGCCCGTCCTCCCAACTCTCTCTGCTGTTGGCTTGATTCTTCCTTCCTTCTTCCAATCCCCAACAAAAACTCCCACGGGAAGCCCACAGCTCTGCTTCTCAAGCCCTATACCACAGACAAGCCACTACTGTTCAGGAGTTCTTTGTGCAGACCCCCTTCCTTCAGCTTCTCTTTCTTTTCAAGGCATGCCATGGCAACCTTAGAAATGGCAAGTGAGCTGCAAAATGAAAAAGTTCTGGAGGCCAAGAAAAGAGGGACAGAGACACGGAGAGACCAGAGTGTGATGCAGGAAGGAAGGAATCAGGACACCATTCAGAGGAAGATGGGAAGGAAAGGCAGGAAAAACACAAATCACCCTGAGAAGGGTGGGAGAGCCATATCCTACAAGGTATGTATGTGCAGGCAATCTCCTCACCTGGCAGACGAAAGGGAACTGGTTTTCCCCGATGTGGTAACCATCCAGACCCAGGGGGAAGACAGCCGCTAATGCCAGTGAGCAGCCTACAGCAGTCAGGTTGTTCAGGTTGGGCTGGGAATTCTGGATATAACTAGGGCAGAGGCGAAGAAGGTGGGTGAGGGAGACAGAGAATTACCCTTCTTCTCCAGGGAGGCTCAGCTCTCCACATGCCATACAACAGCAGGACCCCCCAACTCCGGGGCCACAGGACTTAAAGGAAGACAGGCTTGGAGCAGGCAGTACAGCCGTGAAAAACAGTCAGCTCAGGCATAGAGCTGGTAATGGAGCAGAGAGGGCTTCCCCCAGCACAGGACCCCGCTGGAACATACGCTATTTTAGAGCCCAAGACGTACTGCTGTGCTTTTTCCAAACAAATTGGTTTTGGAGAAAGGGTAAGAGATATGCCTAATTTTGCTCTTGTGTTCTCAGTAAGTCAGAATGGAACCCTCTAGGAGACATGGCAGTTTTTATTCTCAAGTCCCTCCAGGAAACTTGATCAATACACCTCAAGAGAGGCAGACAGCGCAGGGATCCATCATGTCAGAAGAGAAACTTACCGGACATGGGAGTTGTAGATGTTAAAGGACAGACAGACAACAGCAAGGACAATGCCCAGGCTGGAGAGAACTGAGACGGAGATAAAGAGTTTCTGTGACAGGAAGCGGAATGTCTTGATGACCAGTGTCTGGTCAGCTGGGGGAGCCCCTCCTGCATGGCACAGGGGAGGAAGAGGAAAAAAGAGAAAGGCCAGAGGACAGGAGGATGACGATGGGATAGGTCACAGGGAGGAAAGGGGTGAGGGACAAGGTTCCGAATGGACATTCAGTGCCTGGCTGAGGATATGTGACCCTCACTGCGCTGGGTGGGGTTGTGGGAAAGCTCGCCAGCCTGGGGCCCTTGCAAAGCAACCAGAAATGAGATGAGCAGACGGTGGGCGTGCTAAGGATTTCACCTAGCTTGTAGTCTGGTTTTGTGACTGTTCGTTCTTTGTGTTTTGCTGTCATTCTTGCAGCAAAGGAAAATGGGAGAGGAAAGAAAGGGATAGCTGAGAAATAAACCTTCTGAGGTCTCCCATCACCAGACCAAAAGCTGTAAAAAAAAGACACTTGTAGAACCAGGAAGCTAAAGGAGCCTCTAATCATTGCTTGTGGTCTTCTTACCTTAAGGAAAACAAACTGACAAATAAAACTAACCTGAACCTTTTCATCTTGGCAGTGTGCTAATTGGCAAGTGGGTTTTACAGAGATTATTAAGGGGAAATTCAAATTTGTCGCAGTTCACCCAAAAAAAAAATCAATTTGCTAGTTTTAAGAAAAAAAAAACTAATTTAGGCCACAGCATTTATAGCAGCCCAGAATACTGCCCTAAATTCAAATTATAAAAAATAAAAATTAGGTGGATCATACCTGTAATCCTAGCTGCTCAGGAGATCTGAGGATGGCAGTTAGAAGCCAATCCAGGCAGAAAAGACTCTCTTACTTCCAATAAACCAACCGGAAAAAAAAAAGTTGGAAGTTCTAGCAAGTGCCAGCCTTGAGTGAAAAAAGCCAAGCAACGATGCAAGGCCCTGAGTTCAAGCCTCAATACAGGCATAATTTTTGTTTAATTTAGATTAAAAACAAAAACACCTCTAGCCAGGGGGAGTGACTGGGTTTTGTTGCGCAGGGCAGATGGCAGCTCCAATGGTTATCCCACCCATCATCCTCCAGGTACTGAGCTTTTCTTTTTCTATAGACCCTTCCTTTTGCCCACCTTCAATACTTTTCCCATCACACATCCCTCTAAGTACACACCAAGAAAAATTACTTGCTTTCCCTCTTTAAAAAGCACATAGTGGTAGCAGATGACAATGATAGGAGGTTTTGCACTCTCTCCTATAGTCAGGCAACTGTTTTTTCTGTCAGAGGCAGGCAACTCGAGGCTTGAAGTAGCTGGTTCAGATATATCAAGGCACCAGGACATCTGGAAACCCAAATGGAGCTTCCATTTCCCGCCCCCCTGCCCACCCCCTGACTTTAATCCCCAGTTGCCCCAGCAGTGTACTATTAAAAATAGTACGGCCCACTGCCTAGTCCCTCTCCAAATGCACAGTTCTCCTCTCCCCTCTTGGAGGATGTATTTGCTCTTTCTTAACCTCTGTTCCTGCCCATCTCCCTGTCAGATTTCAACCTAATGTCACTCACTACCTCACCCTCATTCAAGTGTGTGCCCATTTTCCTTCATTATTCAACAAGGATTGAAGGAAAACACAAAAGGAAGCACTTACCAATCCACTTGTCTGTTTTGGACCAGGAAAGATCATCCTTGGTGCTGTCATAGTAGCCAATCTTCTTGTAGCTGCCACCTAAGCAGATGACAACAGGAGCGGCCAAGTATCAGTAAAAACCCATTCTAAGGAAGCATTTTCATCAACTCTCCGTTTCCCTGAAAGTGCTTTCCATGATTGCATTTGCCATTAGCTTCATTTGAGCAACTCAAAGACACTTGGAAGGACCTACAGGTCGCTGGGATCCACAGCTTGACTTAAAAGCAATATAAGGTGGTTCCCAAGGCAACTTGAATAAATAAGCATAGCTAATGTGTTTAAAGCTCTTCATTGAGGAAGGCGCCACAGTATGTCTGCCACCTATTCCACCGCCTCACACCTCTCCCAGCCAGGCTCCCAATTTAGGATTCTGGTTTCAAAAGCTTTATACATATTTTTCTCTCTCTTACTCATGATGGACAGACTCACAGGATCTATTTTCCAGTGGCTTTTAATTTTTAGAAATTTCTCTCCCATGGGCTCAGGTTCTAATTCCTCCGATAAGTGATACCTGCCTTTTAAAGAGCCACTAAGTAAAATTCAAGTCACTCCAAAGAGTGAGTTAACTTCTTCCAAATGCCAACTCACATCCTTCTCACCATAACTGAAATCCCTTCTCACTTGTCTTGTATACAAAGAAGAGTTGAGAGGATGTGGGAAGTGGGGAGATGGGAAAAAAGAAACTTTTCACAGGAAGCCAAGAAATGAGTCTCTTGACCAAGCCAAGAGCATTGAGCATAGGATGGATCTGCAACATTAACTCACAGGAGTTGTACAAACACCTAATTGTGCAAAACTGTAAGAAAAATACAACCTAGAAAAGCCAAACTACACATACTACGGATAAATTAGGAACGTTAGTTTACATAATAAGATAATTTGATGGATATCCTTTAAAAAAAAAAAAAACAGTAGGTTTCCAGTCAACTGCAGGTGATACATGCCTGTAATCCTAGCTACTCAGGAGGCTGAGATTTGAGGATCACTGTTCAAAGCCACACCAAGCACGAAAAATCCAAGAGACTCTTATCTCCAATTAACCACCAAACGCCGAAAATGAATCTGTGGCTCAAGTAATAGAACACTAGTTTGAGCCCAAAAGCTCAGGAACAGCACCCAAGCCCTGAGTACAAGCCCAGGATCAGCACCAAAAAGAAAAAAAAAATTAAGTTTCCAGCTGGGCACCAATAATCCTACAATCCTAGCTAATCAGGAGGCTGAGATTTAAGGATCAAAGCTGGAAGCCAGGGACTGGGAAGGTGGCTCAGTGGTAGAGTGCTTGCCGCATGCATGAGGCCCTGGGTTCGATTCCTTAGCACCACATAAGAAAAAGAAAAAAGCCGGAAGTGGCACTGTGGCTCAGGTGGTAGAGCACTAGCCTTGAGCTGAAGAGCTGAGGGACAGTGCCCAGGCCCAGAGTTCAGGCCTCATGACCGGACCCAAAAAAAAAAAAAAAAAAAAACCCAAAGCTGGAAGCCAGCTTGGGCAGGAAAAGTCATGAGAGATTCTTCTCTCCAATTAACCACCAAAAAAAAGCCAATATGGCTCAAATGGTACAGTGCCAGCTTTGAGTGAAAAAGCTAAGGGAACAACATCCAAGCCTTGAGTTTAAACCCCAGTACCAACACACACCAATAGAAAAACCAAAAACGTTTCCTAGGTATAGCTTTCCTTGCATTTTTGAGGATGCACTAGCAGCACTGAACCCTTTCACTCAGCTCCAGGAGAGGAATTTCCTAAACAAAAATGGAAACCACAGATGTTTTTAACGTGCATGTTCTTTTTAAAGGAAGCAACCACTACAACCGATCCCTGGAACCAAGCTTTTTGTTAAACTTATTAAAAAGCTTAATGAATACAATTAAAAGGGCAGGAAGGGGAGGCACTAGGTACTTCTGGCTATGTCTAGATGTTCTCCTCCCAAGCCAGGACCTAGTACAGCTCCAGCTAGCACACACCACCCCCTCTCCCTGCCCTGCACTCACCCTGGAGCTGCTCAATCAGCGTCCAAGCCATCCGAGAGCCGCTGGCATCAAACACCACATGGCCCTGAGGGGGAGGAACATGTGGAGGAAGGCAGGGGGATAAAAGCAGGAATGAAAGAGAACATCAGGGACTCTGAATCCTTCTCTTTTTGATGTAATTGAGCTTCTGAATGAATGCTATTTATGGCATTTGCCTGCATATAGGACATACCCCAGATGCCCATACCCTAGATTCTAGAAACATTATTTGAGAAGCAGCTTCACCCTTGAGATTTCAATTGGAAAAAAAAAAAAAAATCCCCAGAGCACTAGGAGATGGACCTTCCAGCTGTATGGCCTAAGCAAAGTGATCAACACCCACTGGGCACTAATTTTCTTGCTTTAAAAGGTTGTTTCCTCTCTTAAAATCCTACAGTTCTCATATGACCTATAAGCACTTGGACTAGTTTGAAAAAAATGAGGGGAAATGTTGAAAGAAATAAATACATCTATTTTGTTTTATTGTATTTTTTTGTCCATAGTCTTTTGTGGAATTGTCTGGTTTGGAGATCCCTATTCGCCTGATCTGAGACTGACTTGCAGAGAATGAATTGCAGAGGGGGAAAAAAAAAGTCTCCAAGGCTGATTCTGTGGGTGGAAGACAGGGAAGTGTGAAGAGAGTTGCTGTAACTCACAGAAACACCTTCGAAGGATGAGGAGTTCATTGCCCGGTAGATTTGGTCAGTAATGGTCTGGTTGTTGTAATTGAAGTCTTCCAGACGCACACCGGAACGGCCCCCTCCACCAGAGGTCTTGTTCAGGGCCAGTGCCAAGGCCCAGATGGCATCATAGGCCAGGGGCGCCTCCTGAAAGCCTCCCGTTTCCTCAGGGTGTCTTTTGAGTCGTTTGGTTAGTTTCTCCACAAACTCCTGCGATGTCTGAGGAGAGAAGAACAAGAAGCAAGCTTTGGAATGTGTGTGGGTGCAGGGGGAGAGGGGCCCTCCAATTCTGGCTCAGAATGCTTCAATTCCAACCCATGGTTTGTGTTCTGTTGTCAGATGGAACATATGTACATTCAAAATCTTTTAACTACACGCATGTGTCTGTCTTAGCTTGGAAGCTACTAGAGTACAGCAGGGATTAGCTGGGTCCAATGGTCTTAGTGTGTACAGCTGCTAGCTCAGAGCTACAAATAGAGAAGTCTGATGAATAAACATTCTCCATAATGAATGGCAAAGGAGAGATAGTAAAGACAGCGCAAAGGAAAAGTCACAGATAATGCACCAAAGAGTTGTAATGTTGATGTTCTCCTAACCTTCAGACTTTCTCAGTAGTGTTGACCCAGGATCTAACAGCTACTCCAAATCTGAAAGATCCTAGAAAAGGTGACACCACAGCCTTTCTCACTCTCTAGGCCTGTCAACCAGGAAGACCTTTCTTGAGGCTAACTTCTTACAATCATAGTGTGAGTGACTTCAGTTCTCTGCCTTTCAGGGAATTTTCAGAAGACTGGAAACTACAGAAATATCCATCACACTTTAGAAGTTCATTCATTATTCAATCCTACCCACACCCCCCTCAACACTTAAACCTTTTTTTCTAGGAAAGCTAAGAAGGATGATAGTTCTTTTAACTCAGGAGATGGGTCAAGTGACTTGACTCTGTATACTGAACAATAACAAATTGATAACCATGAGTAAATTACCTAACCTCCTGAACTGCCTTTCATTCAATGGACAAAAACATCTTTCCTTCTTTACCTCCCAGAAACCATACATGGAAATGCTCAACAACCATTTCTTAGCAAGGTGCAAGAACTACACAGGGACACTATAACCAGTAACTGTTTGAATTTAGGATAAACTAACACATACTCTAAAGAATGAATAAATACAGAGTATTACATGAATAAATCTTTGTTCCTCATGCTCTGACCACATTTTTTTCCTATATAACTTTCTGGAAACACTCAGGTAGAATAGAAATAGCCTGGACCAGCCAGATGCCAGTGGCTCACACCTATAATCCTGACTACTCAGTAGGCTGAGATCTGAGGATGGAGGTTCAAAGCCAGCCAGTACTGGAAAGTCTGTGAGACTCTTATCTACAAGTAACCAGAAGTAGCTCTGTGGCTCAAAGCAGTAGAGCACTAGCTTTGAGCCAAAAAGCTCAGGACAGTACACAGGCCCTAAGTTCAAGTCCCACAACTGACAAAAGGAAAAATAAATAACCTGGACCTTAAAGGCATATGGGCCTAGGCTCAACTATCCCTAGACAGAACCAAATTCCAATCTTCTTTTAGCACCTAGTACTATACAAACCCATAATGGAAATACAATTAAATATCTATTGGATTAGGATGGAGAATACCGTATAAAGGTAGATCAATGTCATTATACATATGTCCAAACTCAAAGCATGCACAATACTAAGAGTAGACGCTAAGGTTTGCTCACCCTAGTCCAATAATGAACCTTGGGTGAGTACAATGTGTCAAGGCAAGTTCATCAATTGTACTGAATGTACCAGTCTCACATTAATAATGGAAGAAGTTACTAGGGAAGGCAAGAGCTCTCTGTACTTTCCTCTCAATCTTGCTGTGAATCTAAAATCATTCTTTAAAACAAACTTAAACCAAAAAAAAGTCCATTGGATGGGTAAGTAGATGAATGGATTCTAACTTTAATTAATCCATTTACCTACTCTGAAATCTCAAACAAGTTATTACATCTCACTAATTGGCTATTCAGTTTTAAAATGGGAATAATACTGCCTTAAAGAGCTCATATAAAGATAAATTAAGAATGCAAAATGCTGGGTATGAAGCAAATTACATATTCTCTTTGTGAATTTCTCTGTGTCACACTCGTATCTTTTTGTGCTAGTACTAGGGCTTGAACTCAGGATCTCACACTCTTGCTTGGCTTTTTTGCTCAAGGCTGGCACTCTATACCACCTGAGCCACAGTACCACTTCCAGGTTTTTGCTGGTTAACTGGAGATAAAGAGTCTCACAGATTTGTGCAGGCTAGCTTTGAATTGTGATTTTCAGACCTCAGACTTCAGCTAGGATTATGGGCATGAGCCACCACACCTGCAACACTTTCATCTTTTATGCTGATACTCAAATCTGTAACTCCAACCCAGTATCTTAAGTCCTAGTGACTCTAATGCATGTGTAACTGTATGATGGATCACAAATTTATACTGGGTGGTAGCACCTATAGTTCAAGACACTTGAAAGGCAAAGGGGGGAGGGGCAAGGGTGTCAAAAAGGGTGTCAAGACCAACCTGGATAACATAGTTAAGACCTCTGTTTCAAAAACAAAATCTCAAACTCAAAATATCCAAGACTAATCTCAATTATTCCTCACACTCCCATCCTGCCCAGAATCTGAGACTGAAACCTTGGAATCACATTAGACTTTTTCATGTCACCAAATCCTCTTAACAATTTGTTGAGCTGTCTCATTAATATCATCCCTTCCTTACAGGATGAGGCTACGATGATGATGCGTAACATTTATGCTGTCCTTACTATGTACCAGGCACTTTTTTTATGTGTGCCAGTCCTGGGGCTTGAACTTAGGGCACTGTCCCTGAGCTGTTTTTTTGCTCAAGTCTAGCACCCTACCACTAGAGCCACAGCTCCACTTCCAGTGTTGGGTTTTTTTTGGAGGTTTTTTTGTTTGGCTGGGGGCGGGGGTTGGTAGTTAATTGGAGATAATAATCTTACAGGCTTTCTTGCTCAGGCTGACTTCAAACTACAATCCTTAAATTTCAGCCTTCTGAGTAGCTAGGAGTGCAGGCATGAGCTACCAGCGCCCAGCACTAGGCACTTTTATCAGGCACATAGAGCAGTATTTAATTGTCAGAAATCCATGTACTATCATTACCTCTATTTAGAGTTAAGAAAACTAAGGCACGGAAGTAATACAACTTTCCTAAAGTTCTACTGCTAAAGAATGTCAGGGCTGGGATTCAAATCCAGAGAGTCTGGAATCTAAATCCATACTCTTACTGATTAACCTATAGTGCTTCTATTCTGAAATGCCTCTCTTCAAAAGCACCTGCTCACAGACAGCAGCTAAGCTGAGCCTTCTGAGTAGTCCTTCAGCTTCTAGGTCTATCCAATCCTCAGTTCAAAGTGAAGAGATTACATCAGAAAATCACCCAGATGGGAAAGGATTAATCCACTCAGCATGATGTTATCCTCTGCTGGTATTCTCACTCTCTAGCTCACTCCAGGTCACTACCTCTAACACGCCTGGAGTATCACTGAGCCCTATTGTCCCATGGCTAAATTTATGAAAAAAACAATCCTTCCCCTGGAATCAATAAAGATAATTGATGCATTCTCTTTTCTTCCTTTTTTCCTGATTGTGGGGTTTGAACTCCAGGCTTAGGCACTGTCCCTGAGCTCTTCCACTCAAGGCTAGTGCTCTACCACTTTGAGCCACAGTTCCACTTCCAATTTTCTGGTGGTTAACTGGAGATAAGAGTCTCAGACTTTCCTGCTCAGGATGGGTTTGAACCACGATTCTCCTAAGCAGCTAGGATTACAGGAATGAGCCACCAGCACCAGGCTTAATTGATACATTTTCAAAGAGAAATTTTACTGTGCTGTTAAGGAACATTGAGCAACAAAGATTCCACAATCCATAGAAATTAGTGGATTAACCAACTGTAAAATTATGGTCCTCATTTTTTTTCCAGTAGCTAGTCTGGCTTGCCACCATATGTGAGAATAGATACTGTACAGCAATGTAATAAGTATCCTGAGACAAGCTTTCTAGTTTGTTCCAGACTCAAGTCTGGTAGAATCTCCACCCCAGTCAAGATGTACTTAACAATCTTATCCCAGGTATACTACCTCCCACTGTAAACCATGGCTGTATTTCTCCAAATCCATTCTAATCCACTCTCCATTTCCATATATGGTTCCTACAGTTCCCTAAACCAAGTTTTCTCAATTTCTGTACTCTTTTGACATTTTAGGTAGGATAGCTTCATCTTCAGGGGCTGAACTGTACATTGTAGAATATTTAGAACCAACCTCAGCTTCTCCACACTAGACAATAAAACTCAACCCTAGTTAAGTCCATCAGAATCACACACTGGTAGCTCATGCTTGAATCCTAGCTACTTGAGAGATGAAGAATCGGAGGATATTGATTTGAAGCCAGCCCAGGCAGAAAAGCTTTTGAGAATCCTTCTCAACCTGGGCACAGTGGCACATGCCTATCATCCAGACAACATGGGAGGCTGAGATCAGAGAACTGGGGTACCAGGCCAACCTGGCCAGAAAAAAAATCTACCAGACTCTGTCTCCAAGGAGGAAAGTTGAATGCAACAGCACGTCTGTGAACCCAACAATGAGGAGAAGCCTGAAAGCAGGCAATCAAGTCTCAGGTATATACCTAGTTAGAAAGCAAGACCTCATCCTAAACATAACCAATGAATATCAGAGAGTTGGAGGCATGGCTCAGCAGTATACCATCCCAGAAAGCACCAAACCTTCAGTTTAAATCCCAATGCCACTAAAAATAAAAAATAAAAAGCACAGTATCACCAGATACGGCAACCTCCGGCTGAAAACCATTAACCTAATAGTTTTCATAGCATAATCCTTCTACTTGTAGCATCAGAATCCAAAGGGACTTTCTGTTCTCAAGTCCTACCCTCGACTGTACTGAATCAGAACTTCAAAGGAAAGGACTCAAGTAATACCTATATTAACTACCTTCCCAAGTTATACCATCCCAAGGAACTAAAGTTTGAGAACTGGTGATGCAAACACACCTGAAGCCATCCTGAAAGCAACTCTGCTTCTTTTCTAAGTCACCCCCTTAGGTCCTACCCTTGCTTCTGATCTACTTCTCCTAGTGCTAATTCACTTATACTCCTCCTTAGTCATTTGTTAAAGACTTCTCGCATCTATTTTTAAAAAATCTTGAAGCCGGGCGCTGGTGGCTCACGCCTGTAATCCTAGCGACTCAGGAGCTGAGATCTGAAGATCGCAGTTCAAAGTCAGCCCAGGCAGGAAAGTCCAGGATACTCTTACCTCCAATAAACCACTCAGAAAACTGGAAGTGGCGCTGTGGCTCAAGTGGTAGAGCACTAGCCTTGAGCTGAAAAACTGAGGGACAGTGCCCAGGCCCAGAGTTCAGGCCCCATGACCAACCAAAAAAAAAAAAATCTTGGCTTCTACCAGTAGAGAATGAGAGAAGGGATGACACTTTCCAAAAAAGAAATCTACTCCTTTTTAGGAGAGGAACAAAGATGTAATGCCTATGAGTTATCTGATCATATAAAATAATATTTATCAGCCAAGTACCAGTGGCTTACGCCTATAATCCTAACTACTCAGGAGGCTAAGCTCTGAAGATTGCAGTTCAAAGCCAGCCCAGGCATGAAAGTCTATGAGACTCTTATCTCCAATTAACCACCAGAAAACTAGAAGTGGCACTGTGACTCAAAGTACTAGCTTTGAGCAGGAAGAGCAGGGACAATGCCTAGATCCTGTGTTTAAGCCCTACAACAACAACAAAATCGAAATTTTAAAAATGTACCCTTTACCTGACTTATGTAACTGTAACTCTTCTCTATATCACCTTTATAACAACAAGAAATTTTTTAAAAGATCTTGGCTTCTCCATCTGGCGTTTTAGGCTAGTGCCACTAGAAGCCCTATGGCCTGAAGACTGGCATTATCTTTGTGTAGGGACTTAATGCCAGTAAAAGACCTCCTGACATCCTGCTCCAAAGCCCAAGTGTCCCTCCATATTCTCAACCAATTTTGGTTTTCTGTTAGGCTTCTCTGTTTCCCTGCTATGGGGCAGAGGACACATTGGCAGGTCCTGTGTTTAGGGCACTAGTACATCTTTCTGATATCAGTAACATGTTCCACTATTTTTCCAGGTTCTAGAAAGTAACTCATCTGTCATGTAACCTACAGAGAAATAACTATCCAGAAATGTTTCAGTATATATATGTATGCATGTGTATATATATATGCATGCATGCATACACACACATACACACACACACACACACACACACACACACACACGCACACGCACACATGCACATGCACACTGAGTATAAAGCTTGACCTCAGGGCCTGGGCACTGTTCCTGAGCCTCTTTGTACTCAAGGGCTAATGCTTTAGCACTTGAGTCACAGCACCACTTCTGTCTTTTTTTGAGTAGTTTATTGGAGACAAGAGTCTCATGGACTTTCCTGCCCGGGCTGGCTTCAAACTACTATCTTCAGATCTCAGCTTCCTGAGTAGCTAGAATTACAGGCATGAACGGCACCTGGCTTCAGTGTATTTTCAACATATATTACACATAGAGTTCCCAAAACAGAATTTATGAACAGAATCCATATGGCAGCTGACCCTTCATTACTATCCACTACCAGAACCTATTTTCTGATTCTTATTTCTCCTTTGCTCAAAGACTGCTATCATAGAAACAATATTTATTTGCATATGAAAATACACACTTTTTGTGTGTATGTGCCAGCCCTGGAGCTTGAACTCTGGGCCTGAACGCTGTCCCTGAACTTCTTTTTCTCAAGGCTAGTACTCTACCACTTGAACCACAGTTCTACTTCCAGCTTTTTGGGTGGTTAATTGGAGATAAAAGTCTCACAGCCTTTCCTTCATAGGCTGGCTTCAAACTGCAATCCTCAGATTTCTGCCTTCTAAGCAGCTAGGATTACAGATGTGAGCCACTTGACAAAGTACACACTTTTTAATCAGGCTTCACACTGATTGGTGGAAGCAGAGCATCTTGGAATTCAATTCAAGTAGGATTCTGTTCTAGTAAGACCATTCAGACAGGTCACTAAACAATTATAAGTCCCAATTTTCTGATCTGTAAGATATAAATGATACCAGGTACTGATGGCTTATGCCTACTCAGGATGTAGATTTCAAAATCATGATTGGAAGCTAGCCCCAGCAGACAAATTCATGAGTCTCTTATATCCAATTAACCAGCAAGAAGCCAGAAGTAGAAGCATGGTTTAAGAATGCCGGTGTAAGTGAAAAAGCTGGGCAAGAACATAAGGCTTGGAGTTCAAGCCCCCAGTCCAAAAAAAAAAAAAAATCAGGCACAAAAACAAAGATGTAAATGATAAACCTATATCAGAATCTTACTGGCAGGATCACTGAATCAGGTTTCTAGAGTCCTGATTCACTACACAAAATAAATTGTCATTAGAATTTCTTTTTTTTTATTGTGAAAATACTGTACAGAGGGGTTACAATTACATGAGTAAGGTAATGAGTACATTTCTTATCAAGCATTGTTGCCTCCTCCTTTGTTTCCCCTTGCCATCCCTTGAATTTCTTTTTTTGTTGTTTTGTTTTTTGTTTTGTCAGTCGTGGGGCTTGGACTCTGGGCTTGGGCACTGTCCCTGTGCTCTTCAGCTCAAGGCGAACGTTCTAGCGCTTGAGCCACAGTGCCACTTCTGATTTTCTAGTGGTTTATTGGAAATAAGAGTCTCATGGACTTTCCTGCCTGGGCTGGCTTTGAACAGCGATCCTCAGATCTCAGCCTCCTGAGTAGCTAGGATGACAGGTGTGAGCCACCGGCGCCCGGCTAGAATTTCTTAAAGTAAGTTATTTGGGGGCTTTAACCTCATTAGTTCACACCTAGCATCCTCTCCAAAGCAGGCATTTTCATATCTTGGGCTCCATAATATATAGTAAGCAGACAAACAGATTGTCCTCTCAAGCTCGCTGCGATTCCTGCAACCTCAGAGGTAGTGCTGATGAGCAATGATGTCTCTTCCCCTGCACCCACTCCCACACTCATTCTCCTCAACATGCAAGGCTGCCCCAGTCCTCCCAAATCTACCTCCCAGTCTGTCACTAGCCAGCTAATGGGGTTAAATAATTTCAAAAGTCTCTTTTACATCTAAAATTCTAAAAGAAGAATCAGTAAAAAAAAAAAAAAAGGAGCAAGATCCCAGCTAATTTTGTATCAGTCATCAATGAAGATTAAGCAATTCTGAGGTACTCACGTAAGTCACCAAGAAAAAAAAAATGTATTTCTTCCCAGAAGCGGCTCTCCAGTAAAGGTGTGCTTGCGTATACAAGCGTCTATATTATCATTAACGCCTCTTCCTCATTTGACTTCTCAACAACTGCTCCTTGTTTCCATGGTAACAGCCCTTCCACTCATCAGGAGCCTAACTGAACATACCATCCTATCCTTTCCCTCTCTCCTGCCCAAGGAAGTCGCAGCAGAACTAGAATCCACAGGAGACATGACGCAAACTAACACAGAATGAGCATAGACCCCTTCCCCTTCTAGACATCCAAGCTGCACACCCTCTTTCTGCCCTTTTCCTAAGAGATTCCCTCTGTCCCTGCCACTCTCACCCCAGGTGCCATCTTCCAAAAACCCACATTCTCACCATGTTAGAAATGCTTCTGGTGTTAGCAGGGTTCAGCATGACGATCTCAGTGGTGATGTGGCCCTCTACTGCCTCGGTCATCTCATCCACAGTACAGTTGATGGACGGGTCATAAATCTTGAACCAATTGTCAGCATACCACCCTATGAGGAACCAGACATACTTCTTCCCAAAGAGACGCTCCTTGTACACCTGCATTCAGAGGAGGAGGGCTAGGATGCAGTTTGGGGGTTTTATGGTGCTCCCTCACTGGATACTATTTAGCCTCTTAGGTATGAAAGAATAGTAGTATTTTTCTTTAATCTACAGGTCTTAGGGTGGTAAGAAAAGCTCAACAACCCTCCTCCAGAGCCTCAGTGGTTCTGAATGGCCTTTTCAGCCAGTCAGGAAAGAAGGGGACTCAGAAAAAAATGAAAGAAAATGAGAAAGGGGTGTGTGTGTGTGTGTGTGTGTGTGTGTGTGTGTGTGTGTGTGTGTGTGTGTGTGTGTGTGTGTGTGTGTGTGTGTGTGTGTGTGTGTGTGTGTGTGTGTGTGTGTGTGTGTGTGTGTGTGTGTGTGTGTAGACAAGGGACAGAGGCAGAGCCAACAGAGACATCATATTAATCATCAGCTCAAATCATTCACTATCAATTTGAAGGAAGAGACAGTGAGTAGACCCCAGGAGGAAAAACATACACGAAGAGCCCACCCGGTCTCCCTCCCTCTTCAGATTCCAACTCCACCTCACAAAAAACTTTCCGGGCTTCTGTTTCATAGAAAAGTCCCACGATGATTCGAGCATCCTGGCGCTACAGAATGGAGACAAAAACAGAGGTCCTGAGGGATGCCTGGGAGAGTCTGAGGGGCTCTTGCAGCTTTTGCTTTTGCAGCTTTGATTTCCCATCCCAAAGTGCTTACTGCAGAGTAAGGGTCAATAGGCAGTGGATAAATGTCAGCTTCCCCCAAGAGAGGCCATTACCTCACATAACAGGAGTCTGTCTGCACCTGACTCTCCTTGTCCAGCCCACCACAGTCCCCCCTTCCCAGCTAACCCCACTCTAGCAGGCTATGCCCACCATTCAGGACCATCCCACCTTCAGGTTTTTGACAGGCACAGCTGGATCTGAGAAGAAACTCTGGCGGAAAGTTATTTCAATTCCAGCCTCCTTCACTCGTTCCTCTAGATCATCCAGAGTCTTGAGTAGAAATGTAAGAAAAACATAGGGGGTGTGCAATGAAGTATAGCCGAGATGTTAACTAATGGTTGATTACACACTCTGAACAAAGGAACAGCATTCTGGGTGTTGCCTCAACAGCTTCTGTCGCCCAGGTGAGGAAATGTCAAAGAAAAGCTCCTATAGCCTTAAGAGGTGGCTTCCAAGCAAGAAAATGCAATGGTGAAGCCATACAACTCGCAGCTCTATGCCTGGGGAAGCCATCCCACCCTCCCCACTCCAACAACTAGGAGAAAACATAGAGGGACCAGAAAAAGACCGGGCAGGGGCTGGGATAGAGAGGATGATGGCAACCTGAAGAGACAAGTGGGCAGACAACAAAATGATTAGAGCAGACTGAGTCACTGAAAAAAGTAGGGAGGGAGAATTAAAGGGCCACTGAACACAGGAGTGGGTGGAGGACCCAAAGAATAGAATAAAAGGGAGGGAACAGGCTGTTTTCTTCCAATGTATGCCATGAAATTCCTCTTTTCGTCCACAAACCTTGCTGGCCCCCTTTACCCTCTTTCTCCACTGGTATCCCCCACAAACACTATGCACTTCTTGCCCTTTCTGTCTCTGCCTCTGCCTCTGTCTCTGTCTCTATCTGTCTCTCTCTGTCTTTGTCCTCTACTCATCCACTCCACCCCACATTCCCATTCACACCCACTCTCCAGCCTCCTTAATGTCTGTGAAATCCACCTCTTTCCTCAGATCCTATTTTGCATTCCCTTTCTCCTTTTGACTCAACTTCAAATTGAACCTACTTTTCTGAGTCATTTTGGGTCTGTCTGTCTGGGGAACAGCACATCAAAAGGGGGGAGAAAGAGATTATAAAATAAAAAAAGATAGAGAGGATCCCAAAGCTTCAATGCACCCATTCCCCTGGCTATCGAAAGAACATGGGCTTAAAGCCATTTGAAATGTGTTCTCTTTGCATAAAGAATTAAGCCCTTTCCTCCAAGATGAATTCTATGACTCCATCGCTGTCCACAGACAAGACTCTTGGGTGGCTGCTCCTTGTCCCTCCCCCCAGTCCCTCCTCACCGAAGTGAAGACCTCTGTGGTCTGCTGGATGGTGGCGATCTTCTTCCAACCCCACTTTTCAAAGAGTTTCACTCGGGTAGGGTTGTGGAGCGTGGCAGATGGATGTGTTCGGAAGAATGTGGGGAAGCGCTGCCGGTTTGACAGGGCTGGTGAGCTGGAGCCATAGGAAAGCTGAGGGGCAACAGGGTATGTCCACAGGGGAATCCACTCAGGGGAGATCAGAGTGCCTGTAGCCCTTTCCTTGGGTCTGAGGTAAAGGGACTCTCAAAGGCCCCCATGCCCCTCACAATCGGAATCTGTCTCCAGTTCCTTCTCAAGAAGAAACAGGTCAGTGGCAGCACAGCCAGGCCACGGTTGCTAGGAGGCCAACCAGCACTGCTCTGCAGCAGGCTCTGAATCCTAGAAGTGGATCCCTCCTCCCCCACCCCCAACTAGTCCTCCTAAATACAAAGCGGCAAATCCCTCTACTTAGTCCAGCCCGAAAGGAAATGACCCCATCTTCTGACACCCCCCACTACCAGCCCTGCTTACCACAATGAGGTTCCACATCCTGGCAGCCTCAGCCACAAGTGTGGACACAGAGCTGCAGCCCGGCATGAGAATGATCTTGATGGGGTCATTGTAGAGCAGCTCGTACAAGTACTTGGTGGCTTGGCCTGGATCACACTGAGTAAAGAGGGAGGGGATGAGGGCAGGCTCCCCTAGCCATTCTCCCCTTCTCCCCCCTCCCCAGCCCCACAGCCACAACTCCTACGGTCTCATCTTGCTTAGACAACATGGTTTCTTTCCCCTTTATTCACTTTTATCATGACTACTGTATTTTTCTCCTGCCTAACATCCCTTCCTGTTAAATTTCTTCTTTCACTTCTTTCATTAACTCCCTTCTCAGTCTTCCATCTCTATGGGATGCTGCAAATTCATCCTTTGGTATTAGTGCATAGATTTCCTTCCCTTCTTTCATCTCACCCTCAGACATCTCCAAGCCCTTTCCCCTCGGCCATCCTTACTCCTTGATCCATTTTGTGTGTGTGTGTGTGTGTGTGTGTGTGTGTGTGTGTGTGTGTGTGCTCTAAATATCTGTAGAAAGACCGTCTGCAAGAACATGAATAACCTCTCCCATAATGTAAGCTTTTTCAAAACCTAATTATGAAATTCGCTCATTCACCTCTGCAAACGCCCTCTCCCCTACCTTCCTTCTTCGGGGCTAATGGTAAGTAAACAAGACAGTACAGGAACAAGATCAGTAGAAGGTTTACTCAGTACCCCATTCCCTCCTGCTGGGTTCTGACATTTGACAGGTCCATTATTCAAAAAAAAAAAAAAAAAGACTCAAGGATAGAAGAATCTAATACATGGAAAGAATGGGAGAATAAATAGAATGGAACTCTCCAGAAACCAGATGATTTTAGGGGTGCCTGAAAGAGAGGTACAGAGCTGGGAAAACTGAAAGCTAAAGAAAAAAGAAATGTGGGGAGGAGAAGTAGGGGGAGGAAGAGCCAGCCCTGGGTCTCCCACTGCCTGTTCCCCTCCTGCTGAAATATGACATTTCAGAAGCTGCTGGAGCCCCAAAGGAAGTGGAAGAGAAATGGCAGCCAGTGGGGAGCCAGGGCAAAGGGGTCACAGACAAGAGGCCTGGGGAGCTAGGGAGGGTACATTGGAGGGAGGGAGAAATGGAAAGAAAATAAAGAAGGCCCCCTAGAGCCTGCTCATTCCCTGCTGAGACCTGACATTTGGGACGCTGTGGGAAGTTGGGACAGGGGAAGCTGGGAGTCTAAAGAACCTACACTCTCCCTGAACTCTGCCACACACCCCACCCTCACCCCTGGCCAAGGACAGGGCTCAACCACATTCTGAAGATTTCCTCCTCCTGCCTCCCACTTGAGCATCTTTATGCATCTTTGTCATTCTGGGGTCTCATCCTCTTACACTTTTCCAGGATCTATTCCTCCAGATTCTGCCCTCAGTTTCTCCCAAAGCTTACCACACACACACACTTATCCCCTCACACACTTGTTTGAGAAAATGGTTAACAAGGAGGACATACAAAAATCTACAGACACTTAATGGCTCACACCTATAACCAAGGTAGTCAGGAGGCTGAGATCTGAGAATTGTGATTCCAAGCCAACCCTGATCGCCAATCAATCACCAAAGACCAGAAAAGGAGGTGTGGCTCAAGTGGTATAATGCTAGCCTTGATGAGGAAAAGCTAAGGCCCCGGATTCAAGCCCCAAAACTGGCATCAAAAAGAGAAGCTATAGTTCTGTATAAACAAGCACTGGGCCCAAGGTATGCAGTCTGGTTGTTTCCTCATTTCTTCTCTAACTTGAACACCCTTTCCACACCCTGTTCACCACTGTAGATCCTCTCCTCCAGAGTTCAACCCCTCCCCAGTAGGCTTCCTCATCTTCCCTTCTCCTTTTCGGGTGCTAGGATCTGGGTTTTCAGGCAGGAAAAGGGCACATTCCAGTTCCTCTGCCTTACTCCCGCCCCTTTTGCTATCCCTCCGACCTTCTCTTTGGCCCTCCATCTGCTCCCCAGCACCTCTGGGGAATCTCCTGTCATGGTAGATGAGCCTGAGCTCACAGCAAGGTTTCCTCTATTTCCCTGTGATGCCCCATTATAAAGCCTGGCAATCCGCATTCTTTCCCTACCTTCCCAGCCATACAACTTATCTCTCTTGCTCTCCCAAGGCTGGCTGCTCCAACAGATCTGACTGACCTTCTATTTCCCTTCCTGCCTATCCTAATACCTAATTTCTTTTTTTTTCTATACCCTGATTCTCTTCCTAGGGTTAGCTACAGCTCAAGTATTTACTTGGCAGGATTTCTGTTGGTAAAAATGCAGATACTACTTGAAATTCCTTCCTGACTGCGTTTGAATCTGTATCTTTAACAAACTCCTCGGGTGATTCTTATGTACACTGACATTTGAGAACCACAGAGAAAGTAATCATCCAAGAAGATTTGAAGTTCTGTCTCTAAGCTCCCACAGTCCTCCTGTTCTCCCTTCCCCAAGCACCCTACCTGTAACCTCACTATTTCTCCCTAGCACATACCGACATCTATTGATATTCTAAAGAAGAAGTACAAATCATGGGCACAAGTGTGAAATGGGCAAATCCCCTTTTATTCTCTACCACCCAAACCCTCACATTTCTAACTAAGGCTACAAAAGCTGAGAAGATAAAATCAAGACGGTCTCTAAACCTCCTTCCCTGTGAAATATCCTTTCCACTCTCTTAATTATTTCTCTTTCTCCAGGGACAGGGGTGGGGGGAAAAAAATCTTATTATAGACTATCCCCTAATACCCTGAGACCATTTTTTTCTCACCATCCCCCCTCTTTCCCCTCCTCTCTCTATCCCTACACTCCGTCCTCTTCCTAGAGGCCACAAGGTAAAAGATAAAACCCAGAGCCCAAGTCCCAAAAGATGTCCCCCAGTACCCCCCCATCCCTATTTCTCTTCCCTGCATCCTCCTCCTCTCCATTATTATTTATTCTTTCTTCTCCCTGTATTCTGACTCCTCTCCACCCCCAACCCATTGTGGGGCTCCTGGCGTAGAACCCTAATCTAACGCATTCGCCCAGTGCGTCTGCCCACCTCTTGACCATTATTAGTCTTTTTCTATGCCAGACACTCTCCCAGCCCAGGAATCCTCTACAGGGTTGAGGGTGGAGGGGTGAGGAGTCAGGTAGGGCTCACAGCTGACATGCTGTTTGTTTGGGTAAATAAACTAGATCTCTCAAGTCTCTCTAAATTCCCCCTCGTTTTCTCCTATTCCTTCCAGCTCCAACCTACGCCCAGATTTACCTTGTTACCATGGTAAATGTAAACCCCCCTGATCCAGCTCCCCACCTCTGACATTCTCGCCAGCCCCCAATCCAGTCCAGGGTTAGTTTGCTCCCCCATCGGCGAGGACCCCCTCCCCCTCAATCCATCATCACTTTCCTCAAGCCGGGGCACTTGCATGACTCTTTGGTTGCTGAGTAAAAGGGTCCGCCTTGCAGCGTGACTAACCATCTTCTACCCCTAAGACCCTCCGCCCCTGTGATTCTCCCCCAAACTCCGGCACCCCCATCCCATCTCCCGCTAGCCACGCAAGGGAGGGGGCTGCCTCCACACCCCAGAGGACTGGGCGTGAGGCTCGCGCACCCGGCCCCCTGCCCTCTAAGCCCCCCCCTCACTTTCCACCCACTCCCACGTCCGGGGCTACCTTGCTGTCGTGGTGGATGAGCTTGAGCTCATAGTCCGGCAGGATGTCCCTGCGGCTATTCACGTCCTCCAGCGCCATCTCCACCGCGGGCTGGCAGGCCTGGCCCCCCGGCCAGCCCCCGCTCATGGGAAACAGCGCCCCGATGTACACTGCGCGCCGTTCTGAGGAGGGGTGCGGGGGGACCCTCGGGTGAGGCCGCGGGAGATGGGGCGAGTGGGAGGCCCACACCGGAGCCACCCCAGCCGCCATCACCACCAGGAGCGGCAGCGGCCACCCCACCGGGGGAGAGAGGGCCCCGGGACCCATGGCGGGGAGGGGGCGGGGGTAGCGGCTTGGGGAGGGGGAGGAGCTCAGGGGGGACACTTTTCCGGGCGAGGGCTGCTGAGGGGAGGTCGGGGAGGCGCCTCCATCCCCGCTGCCGTGGGGAGGAGGGGGCTAGGGCCCCGGGGAAGCAGGGAAGGTTGGCTTCCTTCGGGCCCCGGGAGGCTCCGGCTCCCGCCAGCCAGCGCCACCTCCACCGCGGACTCTCCTCGCGGACTGACTGACCGACGGAGGGGAGGAGGAGGAGGAGGAGGAGGAGGGAGGGAGGGAGGGAGGGAGGGGAGGGAGCAGTGGGGCTGGGAGGGGGCTCTGACGTCACGGGCGGCGAGGCGGGGGGCGGGGAGGGGAGGGAGCAGGGGGCGGGGAGGGGAGCGCGCCGCGAGCCGGGCACCTCCGGGTGGGAAGGGGAGAGGGGCGCAGCCCGGCGGGGCGAGGGGCGTGGGAAGGGACGCGCAAGGGAGCCCCCCCCACACACACACCTAAGGGCACCAGAGGGGAGGAGCAAAGGGGATGGGGCGTGCCGGGAGGGCGGGAGAGCGGGCGCGGGGAGCGGAGGAGCTGGGGATGGGGAAGGAGAGCGCGACGCGCGCGGAGAGGGGCTGGAAGGAGGGCGTGACGAGACGGGGTGACGACGGAGGGTGGGGTGGGAACGGCTTTTGAGGAGAATGGAGGGTTGGTGGGGATTGAGGGAAGGGAACGTGGGGCTGGGCAGGCAGAAGGCGTGATGGGAGAAAAGAAGGGGTGTCGAGGAGGAACAATCGGGAGCCGAGCACAAAGTGAGCGGCGAGGCCCAGGGTGGGATGGGTGGGGCGGGCTGCTGGAGCCCAGCGGGCGAAATCTGAAAGGGGGACCGGCAGGAAAAAGGCTCCTGGGAGGATGGGAAGGAACCCCACCGGAGTGGGCTAAGGTGGAAGCTCAGCACCCCCCCGCCCCCCACACACACCCCTCCAGCACGCTGCCGCCCCCTGCTGGGGCTTTGCCAGTAAGCAGCAAAGCTGAGCCTGGGAGGAGGTGGAGCCCGAGGAAAGAGAAGCCAAGCGGGGAGGTGGGAGGGACCGCAGCCCGGAGGGAAAACCGTGCAGGAGGAAAAAAGTTGGGGGAGAGAAGGGGACCCTAGCAAACTGGGGTGGGGGGGGGAGGTAGGGGAGGCCCCGACCCATAGCCTAGAGCTAGAAGTCCTGTGGGTGTGGAGGGTGGAGAGTGGCAGGTAAGGGGATCGCAGGTGCAACGCGCGACGGGGTTTCTGATCTCACCTGAGTGTGGCGTTCGATTCACTGGCAGCAGGAAAGACGGGGATCAGAGAATTACCACTGGCGCCCAGCTTCCCAGGCCTGAGCCCCAGCCCCCTCCCACACACCTGTCCATGCCGAAGACTGGGTAGAGCAGAAGCCTGCGTTTCTGAGGGGAAGGTGCCTGGGGATAAGAGCAAGGTGGGGCTAGGGGTCAGGATTTGTCTTGCTTTTTTTTCCCCCATAGAATTTGAGCCAGGAGTGCCAACAGCTGAGGCAAAGGCAGACCCTGGTTTGTGTAAAGCCTGAATATTATTTTTTAATTAAAGCACAACTGAGTTTTGAATAATTGTAGTTATGTTATCTTATGTTTGCAATGTTTACAAAAGATGATTCCCACGTGAACACCGCTTAGAGCTCTCTACCTCTACCTTACAGCTCTCCATAGAAGCACAGGGAGAGGGCTCTGTATTTGAGAAACCCTGAAGCTTAAGTTTGGCATCGCCTTACGGTAAATACACCCAATGTCCAGATTGGAATGGTGAATTCCAAGCTGAATAACTGACGCTCACTGAAAAAATGCCAGGACCAAGAATCTCAAAGGGTCTTCAAGGATAGAGGAAACAAGCATGAGGCCTAAAGGGATGCCTGCAATCTAGGAGAGAAGACTACAGAGGAAAAATGTGGGTATCCAGAAAAAGGAAAGGTTTGCAGGACTAAATGGCAAAAAAAAAAAAAAACCGTTAGACACAAACAGAATGATAGAGGTGGGTTGTCAAGAAGGTATAGAAAAGGAACATGGTCTTCCCATCCACTCCTGAGTTCCCCTACATGTCCTGTTCATTCTGCCCAAAAATTTTAAGTCTTTTTGCTCTGATGTTTCCACTCCCAGATCTCCTCTTATCTATTTTTCTAAGTCTGATAATTATTTAAATTCTAAATATTTACAATATTTCTAGTACGGAGTAAATGATGAGGGATCAATTCTAGAAGCAAGTGTGAGGTACAGAAAAATCCTGTTTAGAGAGCGAGGATGAGTCTAGAAAAAAAATGAAATATTTAAACCTTAAGAAGGAGAAAGAAGGTAAGATTCAGAAAGAAAAATATAAAACATAAGGTCCAAGAATTGGGAGCTGGGGAGAAGATAGAAAAAGAGAGGAAGGGAGTGTTGCTGAGTGCTGGTGGCTCAAACCTTTAACCCTATCTACTTAGAAGGCTGAAAATTGAGAACTGCAGTTCAAAGCCAGCCTGGGTAGGAAAGTCTATGAGACTCTTATGTCTAGGTAACCATCAAAAAACCCGAAGTTGAGCTGTGGCTCAAGTGGTAGAGCACCATCCTTATTGAAAAATCTAAGGGACCATGCCCAGGTTCTGAGTTAAAGCCCCAGCACTGGGGAAGAGGGAGAGGGAGAGGAAGAGAGAGAGAGAGAGAGAGCAGAAGAGAGCCCCAGTGAGAGAGAGGGAGAAATGGAGAGGGAGAGAAAGAAAAGGGGGGAAAGGTAAAGTGGATAAGGAAATTTGGGGAGGAAGTCTGAGACAGGTAGATAAGAGGAAAGATCTGGGCTTGGTTGCATCTTTGCTTTCCTAGGCCCTCCCCCACATTCTTCATAGCACTCAACCTTTCCCAGTCCCCATCCCCCACAGTCCCATCCTCATACAAGCGTCCTCATCAGCTGCATGCAGGCAACTATTCCCCTCACCCTGGCAGTGGGGCTTGGGGGTGCTCCACTGGCCCTGACTACAGATGCTCCGGGAGCTGCCCACCAGATGGAAGTCGGGGTCACACCGGAAATCCACCCGGGCTCCGTCCAGAGCTGGGAGGTCCCCACCCGTCAGGAAAACTTTCCCATTTTCCAGGGTCAAATAAGACTTGGAGCAGATTCGGACTGTGGAAACAGGAAAATAAGAAGAGAGGCGAGTTGGAGAAGGCTCTTACCCCTTGGAGAGCAGGGGGAGAAGGGTCGGGTTTAGGTTTGAGTCTACAAGCATCCTACCCTACAGACAATCAGGTGTTTAAAAAAAAAAAAAAAAGGATGTTCCTATGTACCTTCTACTCCTCCCTTAACCCCTAGCAGCCACACATTCCCAAATGGGAGAGGGGAAAAAAAGCAGCACTTCCATTGTAGGAACCCAAGATGGAGCTATAAGCACACAAAATGGGATCTCTTCCCAGTCCACTACAGTGGGCGGTTCTCTGCCTTTGAAATGTGTAGATGTATATAACTTTGGATGCACAATCAAATTCGCTTTTCTTATCATGGTTGGTTTATATTCATATTAAACTGGCTTTCTGTTTCCTGGGTCTATACGGTGATTGAGTTGGAGACAGAAGTGCTGGAAGAATTGTCTGCCATAAGCTGCCACTCATGATCCTCAAAGAGAAGAATTCCTAAGATGAACAATCAAAGTTACTCCATGCCATGATGAGTGCCCTATGATGGGGGCCTGAGGATGAAGTGAGATGTACAGACCGCTAGCTTTGCTGCCTCCCACCGCACGCTGCAATGTCTGTCTTACTACACGGAGTCGTTCATCAGATGTATTTGTGAATGCAGTTACACTGATTTAAAAGTGCTGACTTAGAAGCTTGTAAAACGCTAAGTTCGATGGAGATTGGGGGGGGAAAAAAAAAGGAATGGTCCTGAAGAGGGGAGGGGCTTTGCGAAGCTACTCACCACAGCGGCTGGGTGTGTCCATGTCTGTCCAGGAACCGTTGGCCAGGCACTTGCGCACCTTGGGCCCCACCACCTCGCGCTCCCCCCGGCACACATACTCAATCTCATAGTCCACGGGCAGGAAGTTGATAGCCTTCACTTGGTCCCGAGTCAGGCCCCGGTACCTGATGCCCCCTTCCCAGGGCGGGTGTATGATCTGGCAACCTGAAGGGTGAGTGGGGGAGGCACACAGAGAGGCATGGTGGGAAACGGGAAAGGGCCCGCAGCCGGAGGCAGGGGACGTGAGCAGGGCGTGGTCAGTGCTCAGGCTGGGAGGGGGGGTGGAATGAGGTGGGAGGGCGGAGGATTTAAAGGATGCGAGTCCTTTAACCCGGGGCCAAAGGACTGAGAGCCAAAGGCTGGGGTTAAAGCGGATGCCAGAGTCCACTCGTAAGGAGGGAAGGGAGCTACGGAGGTAATGCAGAAAAGTAATTGAGAAATCGTGGAAGGTGTAATGTGTGGATGGAGCATGGTTCAAAAGGGGAAAGGAAAGGGTTAAGCGAGGATGTTTAAGGTGAATTAGGAGAAGGGGGGGGGGGGGGGAGAACCTTACAAGACCATCCGAGCATCTAAGTGGGAATCAAAGGAAAGAACTGTAGTAATGTGAGGCTGGGAGAGGGAAGCGGAGCTGACGGAATCATTCGGGGTCACAGAATGGTGGGGTGGTGGAGTAATGTGGGGCGGGGAAAAGGGGGTGCTGGAGAGTAATGTAGGGTGACAGAAAGGAGGTCAGGAGTAGTAAAGTGGCATGGACCAGGAGGGCTGCAGTGTAGGGCTGACCCGAGAGTGAGGCCGACCGGAAAGGAGGAGGTGCAGGGAAAGGGCGAGTGGGGTGGGAGAGAGCCCGAGTCGCCGGAGAAGGGGGCACCTTCGGAGGTGGCGTTGGGGGTCTGCGCCCCGCCCGCGCCCAGGGGGCGGAGGAAGACAGGCGCCAGCAGCAGCAAAAGCAGCATCTGAGCGAGAGAGAGATGGCCGTGAGCACCGGCGCCAGCCGGCCGGCCACACCCGACCCGGACCCCCTCGGTCTGCCCGGCCGGCTCCCACCCGGCTCGGCTGGAGCAGGCGGGGGGCGGGGGGGGGGACCGGAGCGCAGCGCCCCGCGGAGGAGGCGGGGGCGGAGCCCCGCGCGGGGTGGGGGGGAGAGGAGGAGAGAACGCCGGTCCCCACCCTCCTCCTGCCTCCCTCGGCCCCCCACCCTCCCGGGACTCCACCTCTCACCGCCTCCTCTCCCCCGGCCCCCGCGGATCGCGGGAGCCCGGCTTACCCACGCTCCGGGGTTCGGCCGCCTCAGCGCTCCCCGCTTCCATCCCCGCGGTCTCTCCTCTCCCCCAGTCCCCACCCCCCATCCCCGGCCTGGCCCGGCGCCCGCAGCGCCCCCCTCCCCTCCCCGCGACCCCGTGCGCCCCTGTCCGCGCCCGGCTCCCCCGGGGCCCTGGCTCTTACCTCGGCGCGCCGGCCCCGGCTGCCCGGCTCTCCCCGGGCCTCAAGGCCCCAGGCCCGGCCGCTCCTCCCCGCTCCCCCCGCCTTTCTCCGCCACCTTCCCCCTCCTCCCCTCGAGTCCAAGCTCCAGCCCGGCCCGGGTCTCTCCCCCTCCTCTCTCGCTTCCCCCAAACCCCACCCCCGTCTCTCCTTCCCCGGGGCGGCGGCGGCCACGGGAGCGCGGAGCCGGGAGGGAAGGAGGCGGCGCCGGGGACCGGGGAAAGCTCACGGGCGGAGGGAAGGAGGATGCAGGGGAAGACAGGGCGGGGGAGCGGGAGGGGGGGGAGACCGGGGAGAGGGCGCCTCCCACAACCCGAGCCCCGGGAGCCGCCCCGGATCCCGGCCCCGCCCTGGACCGCCCACAGCGCCAGGGGTGGGGGGTGGGGGGCCGCGGGGAGGCGCGGGGCTGCGAGGTGGAAGAGACGGGGACCCTGGCGCGCACACGCGCGCGCGCGCGCTGGGACCGAGCATCTGGGAGGCACCTGCGGGAGAGACCACCGCACACGGGGAGGGGTGGGGCGAGGAGACCCAAGCCAAAGGCAGGGGAGCTAGAGCTGGGCTGAAGATGGAGAAGGACAGGGACACCGAGAAAGCAGCCTGGATCCTGGAGGGAAGGGAAGAGGCAGAGGCTCGGGGCCAGGAGACGGTGGGAGAGAACAGAGAATGGTCAGAATGGTCAGAATGGGGGGCGGGGGCGGCTGTGGGTGGAGGGGTCACCCTGAGTTATCTAAGCACGGGAAGAGCGGGCTGGACAAGGCAGACCTGGGAAACCACAGCTGCTTCTTGGTCCAGCAGCTTGGCTTCTTGCCTACTCGGTGAAGGGGGGGGGGGGGAGGGAGTCATCAAGGAGCAAAACTGGGGTCCATGGAGGTGGATGAAGTGGGGGCTGGAGAAAACGAAGAGCCCAGAGGGCTGGAACCAGTATCATCTTCTCTGTTCCCGGTGAGGCCTAGCCTGCTGAAGGGCAGGCCTTTGGACAGCCCCAGCAGCTCCCGTCTATTTTCTGACAGCAGAGACGCCTGGGTTGTAGTAGCCTTTGTTTTTGTTTTTGAGGTTGATATCAGGGCCTGAGTTTGAACGAGAAGGGAGGAGGAGAATGGGCATGGGGGGGGGAGGGGGGTAGAGGCACTCTCCTTTCTGGCTGCCCCTCCCCCTCAAAAAGGTGAGAAGAAGCCAACTGTGATCCACTTTCAACCTTTGTTTATGATGTCCTGTAATGACCCCTTCACTAACTATCCTGAATTCAAATCCATAGATAATATCACCTCCCTACACACCTAACTTTAAAAAAAAAAATCCAAAAGAGAACCCATCTGTAGTACTCAGGGAACACGCAAGAACCGTAACTTGTAATAAAATAACATAAACACTATGTAAATGTGTGAGTGCCAGGGCCCAGCTTTTCTGGAAGCAGGCAGATGCTCGCTCGCACCTATCCATAGTATCACAGAGATGGAAATGCTTCCGGCATAAGCTGATACAGGTGCAAGAGCTGGTGACTCAACTACCTCCAGCGTGTTACCACCAGTGCTGCGACTTAATGAAATGTTGAACCATTCTTGGTAGCAAAGTCAATCTTCTCTAAACTTACACAGAATGATAATTGCATTCCTAGAAAGTTCATTGTATATTTAGACCATTTTATAAAAAAAAAAAAAACCATTAAGTTCTAGGCTCAGATAATTAAACATAAGTATTCACCTACATGAGTATCCTAGGGGATTTTTGAGAATCTAAATGAGAGGCAAGTCGTCATCATGTGATCCAAACATTGAAGAATAGCTTATACCCCTTCCGTGCCCATAAATGCCAATGGTGCCCCTGGTTCAGCACTGTAATTACAAAAAGAAAACCCACAAGTTCTCCAATGTTCCCTAGAGAGAGGTTGAGAACCACTGAGCTAGAAAATGAGCAGAAGAAGTGGGAAGAAAATTGTAACCACTAGAAATGGTAGTCACCCTCCTCTCACTGGCCTGTCCCCTCCACAAGCAGAACCAAAGAATTATGTGTGTCAACAATAATCAAGTTATTGGCACCAAAGTTATGGAGACATTTCCAGGACTGAACACTCTTCTCTTGGTGTCCCTGTGTGGTCCTAGCAAGATTGTGCTCAGAGGACCCCTTCTCAGCAGTGATAAACCAACTCTCAAAATCCTTGTCTAAGGTCTGGGGTGGGGTCCAGTGGTGGTATTTGGATAGCATGAGTGAGGCCCTGAAAGTATTCTCCAACACCACCATCATCTCTCTCTCTCTCTCTCTCTCTCTCTCTCTCTCTCTCTCACACACACACACACACACACACTCTTCATCTAATTATTTTTGGTTTTCTGGCTTTCCTGAAGTCCTGCCTGGAACTAGAGGCAAGAAAAGAATTTTCCTGAAAGAGAAAGAGAGGAGCCTATGGAATGGAGAATTAGAGCTCTGTGATAGTCATTAAAACACTACTAGTGTTGAATTAGTGTTGAATTAGGAAATAATCTTAAAGTTCAAATCACAAAGTGTTGGCTATAAAACAGAATGCATCTATTCAAATTAGTAGTTATGGAACTATATTTAAGAGAAATTCTAGCTGAGAGCTGGTGACTCATGTCTGTAATCCTAGCTATTCAGAAGACTGAGGTTTAGAGGTCAAGGTTCAAAGCCTGCCCAAGCAGAAAAGTCCATGACACTCCTATCTCCAATAAACCACCCAAAAAAATCCAGAAGTAGAGCTGTGGCTCAAGTGGTAAAGCGCTACCTTCAGTACAAAAGCTCAGGGATAGGGTCCAGTCCCTGAGTGCAAGCCCCACAACCAACAAAAAGAAAAAGAAACTGATGAGGATAGCATGGGGAAATACCCTAATTTGAGGGAGAATCAAAGCCAAGATAGGAACTATGTGTAATGAAGCACACCTGTACTCCCAGCACTTGAAAAAAGGCAAGAACTTGCTGGCGGCTAATGCCTGTAATCCTAGTTATTCAGGAGGCTGAGATCTGAAGGTCATGGTTCAAAGCCAGCCTAGACAGGGTCCTTGAGACCCATATCTCCAATTAACCATCAGAAACCAGAAGTGGAGCTGTTGTTTAAAGTGGTAGAGCACTAACCTTGAACAAAAAGAGCTTAAGGACAGCAGCTAGGCCCTGAATTCAAGCCCCACAACCCACACACACACACACAAAAAAATAGATTGAGGTCAGCCTGAACTATACTCTAAATTCTAGGTTAATCTCTAAAATGTTCCTGGTTTGATCTTTTGCCTCGTTTTTTCATGTGTGTGTTCTCTTCTTCTCTGCCTAGGAGTAGGTGCTCTGAATCATTGGGCAAGAAGAGGGTAAAAGGATGAGGAAAATCTTCCTTCAACAAAGCTATTCAGTTGTTTCCCATATACAATTCTAGTTTAGTGGTTCACTTAGTCTGCTTAGTCTGCTAGAACAAAATACCCAAGACTGGGTGCCTTGTAAATAATAGAAAGTTACTGCTGACATTTCCGGAATGTAGAAGTCTCAGATCAAGGCACCAGCTGATTCTGTGCCTGGTGAGGGGCCCACTTCCACATAAACCATGCCTTCTGGCAGAGGTAGAAGGGTCAAACAAGTCCCCAGTGCTCCACTTCTTAATCCTTTCACTTTGGGAATCAGGTTTCAGCATATGAATTTGGGAAGACACATTCAGACTATAGCAAGTGCACATTCTTGACACTTTTATCCTTTGTTCTTTGTGCCAGTATAGAGGACAGGATGATTACCAAATTATTTCTATTGTGTCTTTAGAGCCATATACAGATGAACCTATTCTGGAACTCACAAAACCTCTATGAAATAAGAAAGCCTCATTGTGAATAGCTGCTCTACAGCTGACCTCCCTCATCCACAAGATGCCCTGAGGTGATGGGGAATCTACCACTGTCTCTGAGTGCTCACAGCAGTGTGAATTACCTCTATAAATAATTTCTCCATAAGTAAGCCCTTAAATAACAAGTAGATATGTGCCATGTAATTAATGCTAAGAGTAATCTAAACAATAAAAAGGAAAATAGTAATCTTGTTTGTCTCTTTCTCTGCAGTGTGGATGAGGTCAAGTTAACTGACTTAGAAAAGGTTCAATTTGCCTGGCACTGGTTGCACATGCCTATAATCCTAGCTACTCAGAAGGCTGAGATCTGAGGATGGCAGTTCAAAACTAGTAGGGCAGGAAAGATGGAGATTCTTATCTCCAACTAACCATCAAAAAGCCAGAAGTGGAGCTGTAGCTCAGGTAGTAGAGCTCAGCCTTGAAGGGAAAAAGCCAAGTGAGAGCCTGAGGTGGGGACCCAGTTCAAAGCTCTAGTACCAGTACACACACGCAAATATATTCATGGAGACTGTAAAACTACCAGCCAGAATCCCACGCAGGCCCTTCACTAGCTCCATACCTATTAACCTTTTACAGAGGGAAATGGGTTGTGCCTGGTCCCAGAAAACCACCTCAATGATTTGGATCCTAGCAGAGGAGAAA